CCATGATCATGGTATTAATTTAAGGGGGAAATTCTATTGAGTTGTATAAAGTGTCAAGGAGAAGAACCTTGGTGTCTGATGTGTATATCTTAAGAACACAAGGAAATCCATGGGTACCACATTCCAGTTATGAGCAACTTCTAGGTGCTATTTATTACACAGACCAGTGACCACAAATAGCAAGGATGAACTGTATATTTCAAAAAGCCAGAAAAGATTTTGAATATTTTCACCATCAAGAACTGGTAAGGTGGACTGGGAGTGTTACTTAATTTGGGGAGCGACTGCCTGGTATTCACAGGGGCCTGGGTTCAACCCTCAGCACTGCAGAAAGCCGAATGTGTTAGAGCATTACTATAATCCCAGCAATGGAGAGGTAGAGGCAGGAATATCAGAAGTCCAAGTTATCTACAGCTATCTAGTGAGTTCGAGGCTAGTCTAGGTTACATAAAATGCTGTCTGGAAGGAGGAGAAGGATGAGGAAGAGGAAGGGGAGGAAGAGGGGGAGGAGAAGTAGTGATGTAAGAAATGATAAATGTTTGAGGAGACAGATATGTAGATGTCTAATGTGGTTTAACTATTACACGGTATGTACATATATAGAAAGACAGCATGGTTCTTCATATATATGTTCAATGTTTATGTTCTCATATTACATTTGGAAAAACGGAAAGATAAATCAACTTTAATTTTTTAAAAAGGAAGCAGAACTCCCAAACAGCCAACGCTTTCAATTCCGGCCCATACCACGAAAAGGCCGGCAAAACTGGTTAAGCCAATTGACAGCCTGGTGAGTAGACGTGTGGCAGGCTTCCAGCCCTCACCAGCCACCGCACACCATGATCCAGGCCCGGAGCAGTTTCACAGATCATCAAAACACAAAAAGCATATTGGTTGAGGTCTGGGGAGACCACTAAGTGGGAAAGAGCACTTGTCATGCCCGTCTGCTGACCCGTGTCTAATTCCTGATTCCAACATTGTCCCCTGACCTCCACACATGCACTCATTACACACACATCCTGCTAAGAAGAAATCTTAAAAATCTTCTAAATTCTACCAAGTGACTCTTTCAACACTTTGGCGGCTGATGAATAAGCAAGTGCAATATTTGTTTCCAACTTTGAATTCTGTTTAAGATGCACTTATCAGTCCCTGAGTGCTACCAGAATTCCTTGCAAGAGCCTCAGAGTGAAAGTATAAACACACTTTGCCTTTGTGTTTAGAAGTGGGAGCAATATCCCCTAGTTTAGAGAGAAGTGATGAATACTCCAGAACCATTTGGCACAGAGTGGAGGATTTTTTTCCCAAAAAACATAAATCTCTAAAAGTCCCATAAGAAAGAGTATATTAAAATTGGTGACAAGCCAGTTATTACCATTACTAAAGGATGTCCAAACATATTAATTTCTATT